TATATGGATAACTAGATGTCTCCGTCTGAGCGGAATTAAAAAACTAGCCTATGTGTTCTTCCAGATTATGTTTTACACTGACATCTTTCAAGACCTATACAGTTTTGGAGTTTAGGCTACAAACATTAACAAACATCCATCCATCTAAACTTTCTCATTTTTAATATTAGATTACTATTACTACATACGTTTGGTAATTTAAAATGTCGATTTAACTGCGAATAAATGGATTTTTAACATTGTAATTTAGATGAAAAAATTGATACAATTTTGTATCATTGTTTTACCTGTAAAAGTTTGATAGAAGTAATAAATGTGATAAACTAGCTTTGGCCCGACTCCGGCCGCGTGGAATTAAAAAAAAAAAAACAAAAGTGAGTAGTCTGTTCTTCCAGACTGTCCGCTACATCTATACCAAATTTCATCGAAATCCGTTCAGCCTGTAGGCTTCACTCTAACAAACATCCGTCCATCCATCCATCCAAACTTTCGCATTTATAATATTAGTATGATATTATATACGTGCGGATGTGCGTCCGTACGTTTTTATCTATATTCATAAATATCATGCGTGTATGTGTGGGTGTACTATAATATCGAAGAATTTTCTATGAAATAACCATTTAAAATTATATACCAAGTTTGTTTTCGTTTTCATTAAGAAAATACAATAGTTTCCTTATTGACAATATAAACAATTTATGAGTCTGATGAGGAAAAAACAGTATTCACGTTGGCAACACTGTTCGTATGGCGGTTTTGTTTATAATGTTGGTAATATTTGACGTCTCGCTTGCGGTCAGATATTGGCTTGTTGTAACTATCATAATTTAATTCATTGTAGAATTATTCAATAATGCTTTGTAACATATTTGGTGTACAAATAATTTTGTTGCTGCGTTATTTCTATGTCTAATCGATTCTAAGTCGTTGGTTACCGAAACACTTGTACACAGCCTTATTCTGTTAAAATAGAACAATTTTTTCTCATATGTTATAAAAAATGTTATAATAATAATAATAAGCCTTTATTCAGATAATTAATGTCATATTACATAATTGAGTTGAATATTGATACATTATAATATTAATTTTATTTAACTCTTATTTCATTTGTTATTTATTATCTGTGTGTCCAAGTTGCACATAGGCCTCTTCCAAATTCTTCCATTCTCCCCTTCTTTTTGCCTTTCTTGACCAGGTCTCTCCTGCAGCCTTTTTTATGTCATCTTCCCATCGTTTGTGTTGTCTTCCGCGTTTCCTTTTACCCTTTTTTGGATACCAGTAGTTTATGAGTTTACTCCATTTATGTGCTCCGCGTAAAGTGTGTCCCGACCATCTCCATTTGAGTCTTTTTATTGTTGTGATGATGTTAGTTAGTCTAGTTTTTTTTGCGATTACAGTACATTTAACTTTGTCAGATTTCTTTACGTTTAACATGTTCCTCCTATATAGAACCTTAAATCCTTACATTTGTATAATTATTATACATAAATTTACATAATCACATATATACACATTAGCGGCATATACACCTACGAATTCACACACACACACGCATACATAGTAATATTTGAATTCACAAACAACATTTTTATTGTAAATTTGTTCAGATTTATATTAGTGTTCTAAAAAAAACTAGCACTAAGACGGAAGAACCCTGGCTCCTACAAGACGGGCCTAGAGCCTAGTGTAGGAACCAGGCGATCGACCACAATTGTATTAAAAGAAATTTTATAACTTTATAAATAAATCTTTTTAAATCTTAAAATCTTAAAAATCTTATTTACACATATTTACTCTAAATAACAGTGGTAGAGCTTTACTATTTACGCAATATAAGGCCGGGTTTCGCCCCCCAATAACCACAAGACGGCAAATGGAAGCAATTCCACAGTCTGATGAGTGTTTTTTTATAATATACGGCGGAAAACGAACAAGCGACCGAATCCACCGAAATAGAAAGCGACCGCTGCCCATAAACATCCGCAATTGCAGCGTTGCCTACCCTTCATTGACGGAGGAGACGCACATAAAGAGGACAATTCCCCTTCCTATGCGTCTCTTCCACCGTCAATCCACTTTTCCTTCTCATTCTTTCCTCTTAAGAAAAGGGTGGAAAGGGAAAGGGACTAAAATTAGGCTTCTGGCACCACACTCACCAGACTGTACACGGAATTGCTTTCACTTCACGCCTGTCTTCTGTGTGGTGGTATTACTGGGTGCGAAGATGTTAAAGTGGGCTCTACCACTGTTAAAACGAATGTGTAAATGTTAAAATATAGCCTAATTTTAATCTTTTTCCCTTTCCAGTCATTTCCCTGTATGACAGGGTGGTCGATTAAAGGTAGGGAACGCATCTGGCTTAGCATTGGGGAATTCACTTGCCGTTTGATCCTATACCGAAAAACGGTTTCTTTTCACGCAAATTATCATACTAAACCTTGACTTCTTGTTAAATTAAAAATTTCATAGAATTAAACTCAATTTTTTTGCTATAAAAAAACTTTTTTTTTTACTCACGGCAGCATTATAAGTCCTCTGATCCTTGTAGAAATAGAGTGCGGTGTGAGTGAGCACCATATAGCACTCGCTCCAGTTCTTTTTGCTCTTTTTCCCGCTCTCTGAGTACTTGGTGCGTTTGATCAGTCGCTCGTCGACCACCGAGCTGGCTGACTGCGTCTCCGGGGCTCGCTCGTATACCTGATACATCAAAAATACATCAAGTTTAATCTTCTGAAAGGATTCTTGAATCGATGAACGTAAAATCACACAGTAAAAGGCGTAAAAACCAATTTTTACAAATTATAGACGGATTTCAACTACATTTATTTTTTAAAAGCGGGAAAAATTAACTTGGAAAAGCGCCATCTAGCGATGATTTAGCATAATTAGGATCAACTATTTTTAAAAACAAATGAAGTAAATTTGAAATTATAAGGCAATTAACAAAAAAAACTTCGACATTTAAAAAAATTATAGAATTAAATTCCTTGCGTATTTGGTATACTTAGTGTGGATGCAATAGCCAGATATGTTATTTATTTACCTCAGTAGATGGCAGCACTCTGCGGGGCGCGGGCACGGGCGACCGTTTGTGCGCGACCATTGAGCGGGACTTCCTGCTGCGAGAGTACGCGGGCTCCTTCTCGCGCACCTCCACGTCCAGGCTGTCGCCGGAGGAGGAGGCGGGCAGGTGGAGGTGGCTCGGCCGGAGGTTCGGCACTATTAAGTTCTCTGTCGAACCGCCTGGAAAGAAGAAAGAATAAAGAAGTTAGAAGAATTAAAAGAAGGGGGCAAACGAGCAATAATTCAAACGCATTAGGTATTAAATTACTTGCCTAGTGTAAATTAGGCGTTAGTCCATACTAATATTATAAAGAGGAAAGGTTTGTATTTTTGTATGTATTGTAAATAACTTAAAAACTACTGGGCCGATTTTAAAAATTCTTTCACCGTTAGAAAGGTAATTTACCTGTGAGTAATATATGCTATATTCAATTACGAATAATATTTAGGAACTATTAATAAAAAGCGTATTTTCGAACCATTTTTTTTTATTTGGCGCCGGTGAAGTCGCACGCAAAAGCTAGTAATCTAATAAAAGTACTAGTTTACTTTTTCCCCGTAGAATTAAAAAATAACCAATAGCCTATGTATTCTTCTAGACTATTCTCTACATCTATGCCAAATGTCATCGACATTTGTTCAACCGTGTAGGCTGAACTCTAACAAACATCCATCTATCCAGAATTTCGCGTACACTAACTAAAACACAGATTTAAAAACTTTTACATAGTCATTATAAACCAAATGAACTTAAAGTAAAAAAACTGCATATCAAAAACAGACTTCTATGAAATGTATACAAAAAAAAAGTTAACTACCTAATTTCTTGTTGATCCTGACGAAGGGCGGGCTCTCCGCACTCAGCTTGTACCCCATGGGGGCTCGCTCCGACGCGGGACTCCATTCCTTTGCCGACTCCTGAAATAAAAGGGAATAAAAAGTAAAAACCACTACATTTCACTGTTAACAAATTATACAGACTTAAACCTGGCACACACTTTGGAGTAAACTATCGCACAATCGTTGTGCGATTGTCGATTGTTTCGCAATTCAACTGTTTAGTTGTACAACTAAAAATCAAGTAGTGTTCACCTCCATATAAGCTTATAGGAATCAAAGCAAGACAAAACAGTTGTGCGGTAGTTTAGTCAATAATGTGCAGGCGCTCTTATATCGTTATTTATTTTACAAAGGGAGTAAAAGGGATAAAAACATTTCAGAACAGAAAAAAAAATTCTCAACACAATAAGCCTGTGTTAACACTCGAAGCGCTGGACAAAAAAGGGCTCCACAGATCTATAAATTAGTCTCCCATAGCCCTGTTTACC